TTTTGCCCAGACACGACACCCTCAAGGCTGAGATATCAATCTTCTCGAAAAACAACCATAATCATGGCCATTCAGTAAGTAAACATTTGAAAAGATGATATGCAGATAATTGAATGAAGCTAATATCATGCAGCTATCTCATCTTGTTATCGCGGCAGGGTAAAGTCGTATGTACTTCTCCTTTCTCTGGATGAGAAGCAGCTCGAAACATACTCTAACTGTCCACAGAGACTCGCAAAGTGGTTTACAACATTATCACCAAAAGAGAAGGCGAAGATCATCAAAGATGTCTCTCAACTTGTGCTGGCACGTAGAACGAGAATGTGCAATTTCTTAGAGTACAAAGGTCAGATTGGTTCTACAAAACCATATCTTGAGCTCCATGCTGATCACATCAATGGCAGATTCGAAGATAGTTTATCGACGATACGCTTCTCTCTTCTTCATCGCAGGTTGTGCTTCGACAGATAACGAACTTATCACTCTGGAAATTGTTCACCGCTATGTTGAGCAGATGGATAAATACTACGGAAATGTTTGCGAGCTGGTAAATCTTGCGTCTCAAGATGGAACGTGGCATGTATACTAATCTGGAGGCAGGACATTATTTTTAACTTTCAAAAAGCCTACTTCATATTGGATGAGTTATTGCTAGCGGGCGAAATGCAGGAGAGTAGTAAGAAGAACGTGCTTAGGGTGATATCAGCGCAAGACTCAATTGAAGATACGGAGGTGAGTGGTGAACATCAATTTGGGTCGTAGTGATTATTCTGGGCATTCTTTCATTCTACAACCTTTTGGGGAACAACATTATTCAAACTCGAATTTCTTTCATGCTGATTGAAATTCCGCAATTCCAGGTCGACGAAGAGATTACCAAGCTTATGTGAATCGGTGCTTTTACACATGTATTACAGAAATATATGGGTGGATGGAGTCTGGCGCGAAAATATCATATACCACTTTCCAGCAATTTCAAGCGTTGTGCATGATTTCTAGTGATGGGTTTGTTTGCTAACTAGGTGATGGTTCCTCTCTCTAGGCCCAAGAAGAGATGATAAGCGGACTTAGGGAGATTGGTCTTGCTTAACACCCCTTTTACAACTGCCGACTCGGAGTTGGGAATTCATGTGAATGGTACTGGTTTTCTTGTTAGGGTGTTTAATGAATGGTAAGATACCCAGGAGGAATCGTAGGTTAGGTATGAACTACGAAATGGCGTTTGCGTAAGTTGGGTGTGGAATTGAATGCACTGAGTTATTGGATTATTTCTTAGTTTTGACCCCTCTGAATGTTAATAGTAGTGACTATTGCTTGGCATTATTCCGCTTTTTCCTCTCGACTTGTCTCGAGCTTGTCTACTGCACTTGAGGTGCACTACTACTTGGCTCGTAAGCCAGGTCGTCATCCATGCTCACCATGATACTACTCATGTAGCCATTCATGTCTCACAGATTGACCATGCTGTTTGTTGCTAACGTGTAGAGAGTCGAGATTCTTGAAGAATGCTCAACATGTGACCAAGTTGCCTGAGAGGCAATTCTTGATTACGTGATATTTATATGTCATCAGGTAAAACCCTTTACGAAGTGAAAGCTGCAAACGTGCTTGATTCTTCAATGCAGATTTGAGAAGATGACCCTCAAATTGACCGTCACCCGAACATGATTCACGATACTTTTCAACCTCTGAATGTGTAACAAGCTTCCGGAATTGATATGAATCTATTCTTCACGCACGAGAATCATTTATTGGTTGTTAGGTAATAAAAGTACAGAGGTAAGATATTGATCTCCCCAGAATCCCAGACCAGATCAAACTTCATGATCCACTTTGTGCGACATCGTTTATTCATCACGCTAATACATAATGAGACTAGCTTATCAATCGTTCTGGTCACAATCAAGGTTATCAACTTGTGTCTCCACACACATCATCCGGCTCACCCCTTCCCCCCCGAATCTTCTTCGGTATCAACAACCACACCACACACCGTCTATCCCATTACTACGCATCTCAACACTACTTACATTAACAAATTTAAAATGTCCATTACCTGCTAGACATAAAGTCTAGCTAAAGAACATCTTGATATTACCTCCGCAGCCAGCGCAGGAAGTATCAATCTTGCTTTCTTAGTTCACGCAGGTCCTACAAACACACCGATAACGGAACAAAGAGCGACACGTTTGGTCCATACTTCACCCCTAAACACTACTCTCAACAACACCATTAACAACACATTCATACTACACAATACACCGTCACCAGAAATAATTATATGAGGTTTTAAGTACCTGGTTTTCAGTTCAACGAGTCTGAAGAATCATCCGAAAGGTTGTTTATCTCCACAGAATACTCGGGCTCCGTAGCCACATACTTCTCACTTTCTTCAAAGCACGGCGAGTCGTCATTCCGCCTTTCTTCAATTATCCTTCACCACTATCCACGATAAGAACTTATCTAAATCAATTTCAACTCTCATCTCAGCCAAGATGAAGTTCCTTCCTTTGCGCGACTTCGACAATATCACAAGTGCGTTGAATTTCAACACACCTGATTGCCACGTCATTGGTGGTTGTGATCTCTATACAACCAAAGCTGCTGGCTCCGACAAGAAACTTTACAAAAATATTGAGAACTCATTAGAATCTCAATATGAATCTCTACTCAAACTATCGGCTTCTGTGTCGCCTCCTCTTGATCCCACCGAAGCTGGCGTAAATCTCTCACGTTCAAGTCCTTTTGGACCCTTGAGCCAGGTATCGAGTCGTCGAACTTTCGCGTATCTCATTGCAACACTTAATGCAAGTCATCCCGACTATGACTTCTCGCACAATCTCAGACCTGCCGATTTCCACAAAGAACGAAGTTTGAAGACTGTTATCAATACCATTGATTCGACACTTTATAATCTTAGACCGAGTTCGGGTATGACGCTTCATGTGCCATCGCAGACATCATATAAGACAACCTCATCTGCTGGTGCTACAAGTCAAGCCTGGTGTCCACAGATGTGGGCTTTGATTGATAAGGAGATGACTCTCAAGGACTGTACAGTTTATTCTTGGGCCCCTCCTGATGAACCGTTTGACGGTGAATTGGGATCTATTTGGAGTCTCAACTACTTCTTCTTCAATAAAGAGAAGAAGAGAGTCGCGTATTTCTACGTTCGAGCTGTTCCAGTCATGAGCCATAGTCCAAGTCAAGGTCAGGGCATTGCAGGCCGAGAAGCCGAGTACAACGACGCCGGTGCAAATAAACGCGCCAGATATTGGCTAGGTGATCGTGCAGATAATCTTATGATTGATCAAAATGGCGACGATGATACTGATGTCAACATGTGGGATGAAGACGACCAAGTAGACCCTGAAGAGGAATACTACGACGGCTATGATGATGAAGCTGATGATGAATTCGATGATCAGAATTACAAAGCACCTATACGTGGCGTTAGTGAAGATATGGCTGCTTCGATGGATATTGATTGTTGAACAACTCTTCCTTTCACACCTCTTTGCATTTTTTGTTTAGCAAGCAGATTGGCCGGCGTATTGGTTAAGTCGATGGCAACGGCTTTTGATTTCTTTTCTTTTCTTTTCACTCTTTTTCTTTGTTTTTGTGATTTAAATACCACATCTGTATGTTTTGCTTTCTTCTGCTTCTTGTCTGTACTTGTGGATTTTTGGTCGGCTATCTGTAGGAACATGGGATGGATGACGGTGATGAACTATTCGGAATGGCGTTCGGCTACGGTTCGGTTCGGTGAGAGCGTACTGGGTTGGCTGGCGTTGTACCTATAGTTTTACTCCCTTTTGCTAGGTAACTTTTGGGAAGGATATCGGTGGTGCGGCGGATGCATTATACTTGGATGGGTGATTATGCAGGCGTATGCGTATACGTATGCATAGTATGGTTAATACTTTCAACAACATGATACCGTGACAATCCAATAACATGAAAATAATTCTTCGTAGATATCCCAGGTTACTGTGGCCTTGGTTGTACATTCTCCGACTGTCAAAGTTTTCTCTGTATATGTGAGAGATGAGCGTACTCAATATTTACATTGAACATCTCTCTAGCTGCACTTGATAATGTTGGACAGTGGGGCAGTAACTCAAGTCTGGATAGAACGACTTGGTCATGATGCTATCCAGTCCGCTTCGGTAAGGTCAAATGAAGTAAAGTGAAATGAAGAGGAATAATTCACAAACCATTCATTGTAGATATGGATCAAAAGAAGCATTCAATTGAGAATTTATTCCAGGATAACATACATTCTAATAGTATTGTACTATCTATCCTTTCGTGTCTTCATCTTGGATCTAGGATGAATATAAAATATAAACTTCTCCAAACCTTCTTTTTCGTTCTCTCTCTTTGCAAAATTTAGATAGATAAAACATCCCCTCGTCCCCTCTAATATCGTCTAAATTCGCATCCGCCAAAATGCATGAACAAAAACACAGAAAACAAAAAAACACAGGAATTTCCACAAGACGACAACACACGATAGCGCAAAACATTGTCGCGGTATGTACATCCGTTAATCCAGCCCGATACGCCTATCCCAATGGTGGCGCAGCGGCACTTCCATTGTTCGAAATTCGAGATGATGAGCGTAACATACGCTGTGAAATGGGGTATCATTCGCTGAAACAAGAGACAAGAGATGGAAAAAAACAAAAAGACAAACATCTGATGAGGTGGTTTAAAGATGGAACAGATAAGGAAATCGAATCGGAAATCGGAGATTCGGGTAGAGTAGATGCTCCTTGTAGGGAGGAAGGAGAATGATGGGAGATGTGTAAAGGGGTAGTAGTGTGAGAGTGTGAATAGTGGAGGCGGAGTTGATCGAGGTAAAGTGTGAGTGGTAGAGATGGAAGGTTGAGCTACCGATGCGGGGGTAGAATAGTCTAGCATAACCTGTACTGTTGAAGATCTCTTCCTATCCCAAAATAGGGATACCAGATGCTAGTAGAACAGAGCGGGCGAAACTATTTTCTCCCCCACATCTTCGCAAATCCACGTTGTTGCTGCTCACGCTTGGCAGCACCATCTTGAAATTCGTCGCTGGCTGAGCTTCCGCTGCTTTGAATCTTGGTGCTACGTGGGTTGCCAAAGATCTTGAGAAGGACAGTCATAATGACGCTGCTTAGAATACTCAAACAGAGAATACCGATCATAACGAGATTACTCTTGCGGTAGCGATGAGGTCCTGCTTTGGCATCCTCGGGCCATCCGGTATAGAGTGCGTAGGTAGTTGTGATACTTCCGAGATTGCCAAGACCGGATACAAGAGCTGATGCGGCGGCAACGCCTACTTCTCCGTGGCGATGTTGAAAGATCTCATTGGTCCATGTCATGCAGATAGGGACTGTGGGACCAAGTCCATATCCGACCATAAGGAGACCACCGTAGCGTGCCCAGGGGTGAGAGACAGGGGCAAAGGTGGTGGTAAGTAGACCGGCAATTTGAATGAGTACTGCGGCGGAGAAGAAGAAAGCTCGGTACTTGTGGAAACGGTCAGAGATTGGAGTGACCATCAGAATTGCAATGAGATCCATCTATTGTTTGTCAGCTTCGAGCCCTATATCATAATCTTGGTGCATTTTACTTACGATCCAAATGGGTGCTGTGAGCAAGCTAAGAGTTATGCCCGAGAAGGAGGAGTCGATTCCTTGTATAATGACGGTAGCGTAGAGTTGTGTTCCAATACCCACGCCAACAACGCCGAAGTACATCAGAGTAAGAGGCCAAAGACGCCAGTCAATCAAAACGTAAGCAAGATCTTTCCAGCCCCATGATCTTGGATGATAAACTCTTCTCAGGTCCTGATAATGAATCTCGGCATCTTCTCCAGTCAATACTGGTGGAGTAGAAGGAAGCCATCTTGCGAGACCTGTGGGGACTCGTTCTTCTCCAGGAGGAAGGGGACGATCTGGCAACCACCAAAGAAGTGAGATACCAAGCACAATACCACAAAGTCCATACAACAGGAACATCCATTGAAAACCAACAAGTCCACTGGTCCCATCCATTTTCTGGAAACCGGCGGAAACAAGACCTACAACAGCAGCAGAAAGCTGAGATGCAGTAAAGTACATGCCAATACGCTTTCCAGTTCTTGAGGGTGGATAAAACAGCGTAAGATAATAAGCCATTCCCGGCCACATTCCCGCAGTAACTACACCAAGAAGGAAACGAAGGAGCCTAAGAAGTATTAGCAACGAAATCAAACTTGATAGAAGGAATAAACTCACATCAAACTCCAAGCCGCCTTCACAGCCGCAAAACAAGCTCCAATAATACCAACCGCGAGAACAATACGACTCATCCAAACTCTTGGACTCAGCTTTGTCATGATCAGGTTTGAAGGTAAGTCGAAGACGACATAGGCAACATAGAATAAAGCTAGAGCCGTGGAAGTTTGTTTGGCTGTCAAGTTCAAAACTTGGGCGAGATCATGGCCCGCTGAAGCATTCATAGTTTGAGCAAGACCAACATTAGATCTGATAGCCGAACAGAGAAAATACAAAACCCAGAATGCTATATATTCATTAATGGCCGTTTGCAAAAAGAGTGTTGTGTGAATCACCTGGAATAATGCGGCGATCAATTTTCCTACAAGATGATGTCAGGATATATGACCTACAAACTTGTCATAGTTTTGGAAGTTATAGGTTATCCTTACCTATAAACCTTCTCAATTCTCTCGATATTAACTTCCTCGTCATCATATGCCCTCCCAGATTCATCGGCATAAACTTCATTTGCATTCAGACTTTTCCCATCAAGCTGTCCCTCATGTGTAGCTATGGTGGGGTCGTGATCACCAAAACTTCGATCCCCAGCTTGTGCCATAATTCCTGTGAAGCAATGGAAATGCGTGCTAGCAGATATTATGGTCTTCCAGAGAAACTGTTGCGACTGAGATCTAAGAGTTCCTCAATTGCTGCTTTATTTGGAAGTTCGAATGAACAGAAGAGTAAGAGAGACGAGGGGTGGTCAGAGGGATGGAAAGAATATTCTGATTTTTGATGTGTGGTGGGAGCTCCCGTAGTGGGGTTCAACATTTCCCATCGGGGGCTCTGGGCCCGGTACTAATGCTAATTTTGATTAGCTCATGAGAAATCATTGCTGTAGACCCAATTTTCTATAGAACAGCTGTCTTGGTATCTCGATATCGTGGGTAAAGATGTTGTTGATGAGACGTGAAGCTTCTTGGAGTTTGTATCAGAGCGAGTCTTTTCTCAAAAAAGTTTCAATTCATGGATATCTAGTATCTTCGTTTGCATTATGTACAGAGTCCTCATTAAAATTACTTTTCTGGCCAATACCACATACTCGGGTCTATCTACACATCCACCTCTATTGAAATTGACGGGATTGAAGTTTCAATGTGGAATTTTATTCCACAGCCCCGTTCTGGACAATCGCTAACCTCCCTGCCAATTGCTAATAAGTCCATTCGTAAATCTTTAGAAAAAATGTCTCTGTTGCTCTCAACATTACTTACATGAGCATCGATACACTTTCATTAAGCCCAAACCAGTTTCTTCACCTGATGTCCCAACACATCGAATAGTCCCGTGCTTTTCTTGGCCTCGGCCAAACTAATGATAGTACCTTCCTCTACAATGTCCTTTCTCTCCTCTCCAGCCTCTCTTATACTTACAATCTCAACCATTCTTCTAATCTCTCCACAGACACTCTTCACTTGCTCAGCCTCACTAACTCCTTCATCTGACACTGCAGATCTGGAGGGCAGCGCCTTGAATGCGAGAACCTTCACAGCATCTTTAGGTTCCGCTATACTTTGATTCTGTAGACCTGAAATTAGGTTTGCAAACCCGGCGGCAATTGGGGCAACGACCGAGTTGGTAGTAGATGTGGATGTTTTGTCTTCAGGAGAAAGTTTCGAAGAAGGAAATTCCGTAGCCATAGATCTTGTGTTCACACGAATAATATCGTTTGAACCAGCTTTATAAGTGATCACAAAGCCCACATTCCTTTTCTCATCTGCCTGCGCTTGTGACAAAGTACTCGTGATGTATGTTCCAAATTTGATACCGGTCACCTGGTTTAAGTCCACTCTCACGAAAGATGATACTTTCTCGATATTCCAATCAAAGTGGCACATATACAATGCCGCATCTGTCAATAGGAGAACGGATTCCTCAAAAGGGCTCGATTTGATAGTATTTGGTACTTGCGGAGTGAGAAATGTCCATCCTCCAATAAATTCTTCACGATCGTCAGCAACGACGAGTTTCTGAGAAACGTCGATAGCTTGCTGCCTCATTTTTTGCATCGAAACGCCAGGATCACCACTCATCATATTCGCCTCGAAATCTTCGAACACAAGATAGCTCACATTTCCTAGCAAGAAATCAATGGCGGCTTGACTGAAGTAGTCATTCACAATACTAAAAATCAATTAGTATCTGAAGTTTTTAATTCAAAAGGTTGACGCACCCGCTGTAAAATCTGGAGATAGAAAGCCCCATATCTGTGATAGCTCCCTTGTAATCCCGCTTTCTGGTACGAGTAAAGTCTCCCTTCAATGCTGCTGTAGATGCATATTGCTTAGAAATGGCGTCACCATTGTCGGCCCACAAAGTGTTAAACCATTGCTGAGTTTGATCGACTTGTAGAGTGATATCTAGTCCCTCATTCTTTAACTGTATTTCAAGGGCTCGCTTTGCTACCGCACTTTGAACAACATTTGTTCGATCCAGACAATCCATACAGTTGGTCCTTAAAACGCCATTCTGTTTCGATACAAGTTTCCCATCGACTTCTACAGTGTTCGAGAACGAGTCAAGCTTCTTGCCCAGTATTTCCATGAGCAGGCTGACATTTTCAAACTTCATGCCTTTGCAAATAGCATGAAAATCAAACCATTCAAATCCAATGGATTTTTTAAGCTCGCTAGCTCGGGAAACGTTAAGAAGAGTCATCAATTTCTCGTACTCTCCGCCAACTATGGCCTCGTTTCCATGTTTCTCCACCAAGGAAGCCACTTGAATGGCCCCGTAGCGATCACTTATATTATCAAAATGCTTCTTGAAAGCTTCATAATTTGTTTCGGTAGAGTGGTGAACTTGAGGCACAGGCTTGAAAGAGTAAGGTGACTGGGAGAAGAAGATGGGAATACTGCCACGTATCTGGACGAACGAATATGTCTTACTCGAAGGACCCCAAACAGAATCCGACAAGATTTGCTCTGTTTCCACGCCATTGGCGGTATTGCCGTCCTCATCCACGCCCCGACGTAAATATCTAAGCCCGGCACGTTTGATTGACCTTCTAGATATTAACGTCAATAGATATGACTTCTCTGTGCCAGCACGTGCTGTGAAAATTTGTTCATCTGAACTACTTGTTGTAATATCATTCATCTCCATGGAAGTCTTCCCAGTGTCTGAACCTACAACAGGGTTTGGTGGATTGCTATCCATCGAAAATGCACGCTGTCCTACAAAGCCCTGCATAAGAGGCAAGGCAAGAGAAGACTGGCCAGCATCAATAAATGGTAACATAAGATGCCGATTCCAGAAGAAGAGTGGATCAACTTCCTTATGCAATGGTAATTCAGAGTTTGTATTCCTCTTATTTGCCAAACTTCTTGTGATATCGTGGTCATAAGAGAAATAATAACTCCTAGAGGTCCCAAACAATATCTGTGATGTCCGTAGTAGTTTTGGCAGCATGCTCTCCGCGATGTCGCTAATATCTTTAGGACTTTCAATCTCCCCAGTGTCCTTGCCCTTATCGGGAGTTGGGATATCAGGTTCCCCTTCAGGGGATTCCGAAATTGTAGCTATTACACCTGTGGCCTTGGAATCTTGTTCTACTGTAGAATACGGCTCAACGCTCATTCCCAGGTTCTTCTTCTGGTCCACAGCCCATCCTTTCTTCGAGAACCATTTTTGTGCAAATCTTCCATATCCTCCTTTCTTCGAGATCACATCTTCAGCCACACTGCTTGTTCTTTTGTGTGTTTGTACCGCTGTATCTTCCTCAACTTCATCGCTAACGACATCATCCTCGCTATCACTCTCATCCAAGCCATGCTGCCCCTCAGTAGTACTCTTCAATAACCCCGCTTTCGTACTATCAATTGAGATCTCTGCCTCGTTCTTGGAACTCAATGGGGTCAAAGCCACTTCAGTAATAACATATATAGGTTTCCCTTGTATTTGTGCGACTTGCTCTCTTTTCGTAATCGATACCAGGAAGGAGGTTTTGGAAACCGTTAAAAGACCTAGATACGATTAGACATGTATACCACGCTCGATATCGCAGACACATACCGACAATACCAAATGCCTCGAAACTTTTGGCAGGCAACCCCTCCACATCCCGCGAATCACTCAATACTGACCCGATATGCTTATCTTTGTATGTGATCTTCGTTGCGGGGGCGGGGCGTTGACCTTTTGGCGCTGTTGGTTGCAAAATCAGCCCATCGATGGCAGCAAAGATAAGAAGTTTGCGAACGAGGCCAGGCATACTGGCAGTGTCTATATAATTATCATCGAAGTCATATGAGGAAGGATGTGGGTGGATCTTTAGAGAGTGGAATTAAAGTTTGGAGGTTGAAGGATCAATTAGCAGTTTTAGCTTACAGGATCAACACTACCGGATTAAGAATGTCTCAATTGACCATGGCAAGTACTTGGTTGTTTATCATTCATCATTTCAACCTTGATTTTTTTTGATTTTTTTTTAGAACAACAATAAATTCGTACTTACGAATAGTCTTGGTGGCCTATCTAATTGTCGACCTTGATCGGAACTTTGAAGAATGGTTGTTACGGTACGTACGTGAACGTAAAAGGCTCACCGGGGACAGACAACCCTTAGGTACGGATTCCTGATGAAGGAGAAGAGGGCAGTCGACACGAAAAATTGGTTAGACAGAAGACTACTTTCTTCATTCTCCACCAATCCCAAAGACTATTTGTTTATCAACGTGAATTGCGACGTTATCTAGTGAATATCTTTCGAACATAAATAGGTTGTCAATTTTGAATCGCAAATAAATTCTGGGGTACCTATCCGAGCCTATGCATATATGGCGCTAGTCTGAAATTTCTCAAGCGAAGAGAATCTCGCACCGCAGAAGATTTCTTCTCAACTGAGCAAACTGATCGATAACATATAACACTTCGTATTACGCAAAAGAAAAATACCTTTGAATATCATCTCTCATCATGGGTAAAAACGGAAAGTTCGGCAAAGATTATGGAAAAGTGGTTGGTAAAGACCTTCCTGGTCGACCCGGATGGAAAGGCCCAGGATTCACAAAAAAAGCCGAACCAAAACCAAGAAAGACAAACCAAGAAGAGGAGAAAGATCTACCTAAAGAATCTCTTCTTCCTATAAAGTTGCAACAGCTCTTGTTGAATGTTTTCAGAGACGCATATTCAGGTGTCATCGATTCCGATAACTTTCAACAGCTTCTGCAGGACGTCAAAGGAGCTTTATATGATAGAGATTTCAGTCGTGCATTTGGAAACGACGAATATCTCGATGTTTATTCTGCAAGATGGTCACCCAGCAGGTCATTATGTTATGCTTCAATTCTTTTGGACCTTCAAGAACATTTCGGAGAAATACTGCCACGTGATAAGAGCGCTCAAATGAAAGTTGACTCTGAGGCCACGACCGATGCTGCTTCCTCCACAACTCCTCCTAAGTCAACGTCACGAGTTATATCTATCGGTGGGGGCGCAGCCGAAGTTGTTGCATTCGGAGGCTACTTAAAGCATGGATTTCAAACTTCAGGCACGGGAACGACTTCTCAAACCGCTGATGATGCAATGACTTCCCTTACTTTATCTGATGCAAATGATAGAATCGAATTATTACTTGTAGATACAGCATCCTGGGCAAATGTTGTCAAAAAACTTCACACCGGTATCACAACTCCGCCGCCAATATCCAAATATGCAAGCGCATCTGCTAAAGAAGCAAACTCGGCTCTTGTTAAGCCTGAAGATTTCACTACAAAATTTCTGAAACATGACGTATTAGCCATGAGCCAAGCTGAGCTTGGTGATCTGTCTGGCAAAAAGCCCGTTCTTGTTACGTTATTCTTCACCCTGAATGAGCTATACACGGCATCAATTAGCAAAACGACTGCTTTCTTACTCAAGATGACATCAGTTCTTCCAAAAGGGTCCCTTCTTCTAGTTGTGGATAGTCCAGGGTCATATTCAGAAACCACAGTCGGTACAGAAGAGAAAAAATATCCAATGAAGTTTTTACTTGACCATTTTTTGATTGAGACGCAAAAGTCAAGGGGGAAAGAGAGCGTTCCTGACTGGGTCAAAGTCCACTCCGAGGACTCTCAGTGGTTTAGACTACCTGAAACTCTCCGATATTCAATTCCTTTGGAAAATATGCGATACCAGGTACATCTTTACCGTCGTTCATAAGCAGGGCGGCTTCAATGGCAGCGATCACAATCGAGAAAATGAGTTTTGAAAGTCATAATCATAATTCGTTATCCATACATACAATCGTTAAGGTAATCGCAAAATGCCAACCTCATCCTGTTGGCTAACATCGGCTTAACATCAAAGGTACCAATGCGGTACCACTCTCATGACCAAAAAACCCTCTGGACTTCTTTGGAGAAGAACATGAGGCCCCTAGTTGCAAAGGCTTCGGCCAGGCTGTCAATACCCGTTCTTTTTTATCTTGAGTCTTGCAGAACTCTTTGCTAAGCTGCTTTAGTACAGCTTCTCTAGCCTTCCTCAAAACCATTATCCTCTTATCAGGATCATCAATCAATTCCTGTTGAGCATCCTCCTTCTCAAAATCACGCTGAACGCCTTGTATATTGGGATCAAAAGTCATTGGGTGCAATAACTCTACTGGAGGCGAAGCAATCGGTATTGGAGCCGAGATCTTTAGTTTTACCTCTTTACCAGAATCAACTTCATCATTCTTCTCATTATTATTTTCCTTTTGCCTATGCTTGCGTCTCCGTCTGCGATGATGCGACCTCTTTCTCTTAAGCTTTGTACCTGTTATCAACGACTCCTTCATACCAGGCAATGTTACGCCAGACAAAGTATCAATGACCTCCGGTGCCTCTTCAATATCATACAATTCACCACCACTCTGATATTGCAAACTATCAACATCAGATCCGCTCGGTTGAGGCAACCATTCATCACTGCTTCGACAATTTCTCGACGTCAATGGTGCCAATGCTCGTTCCCAAGTGCCACCATTTATCAACGTGGTATTTTCAAAATCGAATTCTTTCACCGTGTGTCGATGTCCATAAACGAAATCTGCGACTTGCTGTTCCGACATTGTGGCATTCCTCACTTGCATATATCGCAATTTGGGGAATACCATTGGTGGTCTTGGAGGAGCAGCTGGTAATGGCGACATCGGGGATGTCACTTCTCCAAATAACTTGATCGACTCTTTTGGTGGCGCGAACAATGGATCACTGAATAGAGAATATGGACAAGGACCTTTCCTTCCATGCCATCCAAAACCCACTTTCTCTAAATTTGGCCCAAAGTTCCGAATGTAATCATCCAAAATTTTCAAATGATCGCGACCAGGCAGTAAGCTCTGGAAATCCCATGAATCCATCGTGATACTGAGCTTTCTTATTTGTCTCCATCGTCGTCCTGCAGATGGCGTGCACCCAAATCCAGGCATATGACGCAGGTATTGCAGTCCAGATGGATGGATGTGGATGGACAGTTTCTCCAACTTTAATACCGGTGCTCGCTCAATGGCAATTCGCAGACTAATAAGTGCATAATCTACAATATCCCTTCTATACCTCTGCGAGGGATCTTGATCTGGACATGAGATTGTCAGATGGCGCAGGTTGGGCAGATGAGATAGCGCTTTAATGAATGTGGGGATATTGGTCGCGGCATGGAAGAGAGGTGGATATTGTTGAGTTAATATCTCGCCTAGCTCAGGACATCCATACTTGGGACGTCGATTACTGGGTCTTTCGTTGTGAGGAGCTATGCTGGTATGTGGTGTATACAGAAAGTTGACCTCCTGGCCAGTAATGGGGTTCAAGAGAGGGGGAAGGAATGTAGCATTGGAGTGAGGCATGTAGAATATCAGGTGTTGGATATGTTTCCCGATCCGAGAGAGAGCTTCTAAACGAGAAGGTCGAGTGAGTGAGGTGGGAGTGAAGGTTATACGGGTTCGGATGAAGATCTCGCTGGTTGTTAGCCTGCAGATTTCAGGAGATACAAGGCGGAGGGAACATTGGGAGGAGGTATCTAAGTGGGAGAGAATATTGGTGATGATATTCTGGGATCGCCAGAGGCGGTTGATTGTTGGGTTGGTGGTAGCCATAACTTGCGCATATCGCTTGGGAAAGGGACTGGAGGGAGTATGAAGTCAAGTCCTGCTTGATATTGATAAATAGATATCGTCTTTGATGAAATTTTGGAGCAGGATACAAATGAGGAGTAAAAGTTGTGAAATGATTAATTGAGATTGAGTAGTCGAAGTGAGCTGAATATAGATTCCAAATGAATGAATAAACAAATCTCAATTCACTACTCGCAACTCAACAATGTAATATAATCTCACTCAATCACAAAAAACCCTCGTCGTCATCAACATCAATCGATTGAGTGTGTAACCTCAAATCGCAGTTCAAATAAAACAAACACAAAAGTTACGAAAGAAAAATTAAAGAACCTCAGTCCCTCCCCTTTCCTTATAACACACAACCTATCCTCCACCACCACCCATCATATTCCATTCCCCTCCTCCCCATCTCGAAATGCCGCCCAAAAAAAAAACGATTCCTCGCATCGAATCTTCCCCTTCCCGTCTCTCAATCGCACTAACCTCTGACTCACACTTGCTCGTCCGACACACAGGGTATACTATACAAGCACATCAAACCCATTCCTTTCATTCTGCAGTCTGATTCCCCGCACCCCGGGATATCCACGAAAGAAAAAGCGCCACTCGGAAACACTAAACGCGAAATACTCGCGTGAAAAACACGAGGAGGAGCGCGATAGCCGCGTTGAGTGGATGGATGGGTGCGCCCAGGTGCACATGCGAGGGAACAGGGATGGGGATGTCGGGGATGGAGAGGAAAGGAAACAGGGATTGGAGGAGGGTGAGTTCCGATGCTTATTTTGTGTATGTATGGATGGATGGACGGATGTGAATATTCTGGATCATGATCATCCGCACACGAACAAGGAATCGATCGATTCGCTAGCGACAGATCTTGGCGGAGAATTGTTAACCATAAGTTTAGTGCAGGGGAAAGAGAAAGAAAGAGGGGTAAGGATGTATCTTATGTATGTAGGTAGGTAGTGTACTCTGTATGCAACGTATATGTATATGTATGTATGTTTCAAAAACGATGATTGGAAGCAAGAGAATATGTATGCATGCATGCAGATAGAGATACCGTTTTGAAAGGTGGAAAGTTGGGAGTTGAATGTTGAGTGGAGAGGAGGGAGAGATAGGTAGGTAGGTAGGTAGGTAGGTGTTACTCATACTTATTTTTCTTCTGCGAGTCTAACCTTATAATAGTCGAAAGTCGAAAGTCAAAATCGAAATCGAAAATCGAAAGTCGAAAAAAAATTGAATGAGGAAACGCAACTTGCTCGTCTCGTAGGTAAGATTGACACATAGTTACCGATTACTTACTACTGTAGTCCAGTGCCATTCATTAGCAATCACAGTGGCGAGCGAGCGAGCGAGCGAAAACCCAATAGACGAGCCGATGAGTTGCGAGTATCAAGGGGTCGAATATGTATGTAGCTTACTCCATGCTCTGTACACATCGGGATTGGGGGACCGGCATTGTATTCTCCCTATCTTTCCCTCTGAGCTCCCTCCCTATCTCTATCTCCATCCTCCCCAGACCCAGAACAACCCAAACAAATAAACAACACCCCCCCGTCCCAAAAACAAATAACGCGTGCATGGATGCAATAACCTTAACACAAACGCGAAAGCCACGCGCTTGTTTGGAAATAATTGCTTGTTATGCTGTTGCTGTGTATGTCATTAACATCACATTTGATTCTTTCCCAATTCTACATCAACTTGATTCGATTCTATTCGATTCGATCCAACTACTTAAATCATATGATAATATAGCCGGATACTGCATGATCAATTTCCTTTCCTTCACCAGATCTACATTCTCCCGGAGTTCATACTGAGTACTTGACAGGCAGTAAGTAAGTATCACGACCTAAGAGCTTTGAATTCTATTTTGTGATTGATCGATTCGACTTCAAGGGATTGATTAATACCTGAAAGTAGGTAGGTACCTATGATATGCGCAAAACTACTCGCGTTTTATTGCCACGAGTCTCTTGTTTATATTCATATTCGTGTATGTTTTCTTTGCGACGCGCTTTCTTCCACTCGCTTATCATATACATGTTCATCACACGTTCATTTATTCACGCAATCACTAATCCATTCAAAATTCAAGAGTTCGCGAGGCGAAAAGCACACGAGAGATGACATGCGATTATTTGCATCTACGTTCCATTCTCTTCGCGTCTCGCTAACGTGCCAATGTGATTGCCTGCCTCCTACTATTCCATACATCCACTTTTCAACCATTCCACCACGATCAATCTCCCTCCTATCATCTCTGAAATCCCATTCTGATCAAAACATCTAACTCCTTCTGTACCCCATCCAATCGTGAACCCCTTGAACCACTATGCCGATCTTTCACATCTTATCATCTTTCATTATTCTGCCATGCATGCCGCTGTTCGAACTTGCCAACTCCAGATGTTCAATCATTTTCCCCATCTACTCGCTTGTCCACCCACTCTTCCATCCAACGGACTTAAACAGTTGAAGACTGTTTCGAAAATACAAAGTTTAAGATAAGAAAAAGTAAGCCCAATCGAAAAACCCCGCCAGTGAACTTTTATTATATCGTCTCGTTTCCTGGTCTTTCAATTCGCCCAAACGCCATTATGCAATATCTTTTAATCAGTACTTTTTGTACCTACAGCCAATAATTTCCCCTTGAAAATACGATTCTGAAGGACTCGAGTGAATAAAGAAAATTCGTGTCATTCCAGTTGCGCGATAAATATTAAAATGCTTTTTTCGTGTATAATAAGCTGGGTATCCTAATGAAGTGAAAACAAAAAAGAAAGTTAAAATGCGGAAATTAAACGCGCTCTATCTGTTGTGTTGTGTTGTAACGCGGTCATGTAGAGGTGAAAGGTGAGGGAGGTGAGGGAGTCCCATTCATTTTAATGAGGTCAGCTTCAGAATTTGATGCTGGACTGGATGTTGATGTGGATGTATTTTTGTGTTGTTTTTTCGACGCTTGCTCTCTTTCTGGTGTGCTTTTTCGAGTTACGGAGGAGTCTTCTATCTCCTCTGGGATAGTGGCGAATTTCTTAAGAACTTGCTTGAGAGCTGGTCG